CGCTAGTAAATACATACATATAAACATAGTCAGTTCTCTTACATTGCTCTCTTCTGTCCATGTATCAGACGGTCTGGACAAAGCAATGGTGTCCGCCGTCAGCACACCAACAGACACAGTGAACCCCGACAACAGTATGTCGATTATTCCAGGAAACACAAAAATATGCCCCAAGAAAAGTACCGAACTGTCCCAGCCAGTCCGATTATCAGACCTGTACGACAGCGCCCTATTCGCTGTTCTCCAGACGTACTACGCCTCCCATCTGGATGAATGTGAGTGTTGTGCAGTGGTAGGCCTTAGAACGGTTGTTCCTGTTTAATTGTCCGTTGTAAAGTGTATCAAATGATGTTACGTACGACAAGTGGTGCACTGTTACAGTGGTGTGCATAACTTGTATTCCTGTTTAATTGTCCATTGTAGAGTATATCATATGATGTTACGTACGACAAGTGGTGCACTGTGCTAATGGATGAATGTGTGATGTACAGTGGTGTGCATAACTAAACCCTGCCAGGCGCATACAACCTGCATTAGCTGGCTGTCTGTGAATGGTCTTCTGTTGGCTTTCTCCAACACCGATTCCTGTTAAGTGTCCATTATTGAGTGTTCGGATGATTTGTGATCTATCAGAACGTACGAAAACAACCAGTCGTCCTACACTGCATAGTCCATGCTGGGGCAAAAATATTCCATTGTTATCAACCGACCCCTTCACAGACTCTGCAACTATGAACTACGCGCTCAATGGATCGGACTGTGTGTTACGTTTGATGCTCATGCATAACACGGATATCACAATAGGGGTATGGTCGTGAGTATGTGGTTGTACACAGGTTTCTGGTTGCGCTAAGTCAGTGGACAGACAAGTGCAGCAAACCATAAACCCCAAAACCTTAACACTAAACCCTGAAACCCTGAAACCTAAACCCCTAAAACCCTAAAACGCCAAAGACCCTAACCCTAAACTCGAAACCCCCATACTCCAGGTTTCAAGAACTGGAGCGACGACAAGAAGAAAGACAAAGAGAAAAAATCCGACAACACTTCACTGCCGGAGCAACAGGTTCGTTTCACACCTACATGCAGTATGTGCGTATGATTTCATGCACGTAAGCACACCCATATACCTACATGCAGTATGTGCGTATAATTTCTATGCACATAAGCACACCCATATACCTACTTGCAGTATGTGTGTATGATTTCCCGGTCACATAAGCACACCCATATACCTACATG